ATTCACTCTCGGCGCAATATTCAATCCAAAAAAAAAAAAAAAAAAAAACACACCGCAATACTTGAAACGCTATTAAACGCCATGCTAACCGCGACGCTAACAGCCCGCGAGAGAAACCCGAGCGACCGTTACGCCGCGAAAGTCGATCCGCGTCGGTATTTTAATGACAAATTCAGAACGCGACTCCACTTCAGGTGACTGGACTGTGACAGCGACTATAAAACGCCGTACTTTGTTTGGCTTAAATCTCGGAGCGCGTGCTAACCGCTAATCCCCAGCGCTATGGTGTTACAGCTTTAGCCTAGCGCTCAATTATTTAAAGGGACTGTATTACACAAAATGGACTCTCGTTAGAAAACTGTTACCGGCTCAAAAACTGACCCGGACCTGTGTTTTGTTTAGGGTTTGGTGTAAATAAAATTGTGAAATGGTCGTTTGTAAACACGGTTTTCTGTATTTTGGCGAAACAAATGATGATTTATGCTTCACTTTACGGTTGGCGGAGATCAGATTAGTCAAAAATTGTGATCTAGTTTCGTTCTGTTTTAGTCCTGGTTTAGTCTTGATTTAGTCCTGGTTTAGTCTTGATTTAGTCCTGTTTTAGTTTTGGTTTAGACTGGTTTTAGACCTGGTTTAGACCTGATGTAATCCCGGTTTTGGTTTGAATCAGTTTTAATCCTGGTTTAGAGCTGATGTAGTCCTGGTCTAGTCTTAGTTTAGTCCTGTTTTAATCCTGGTTTAGACCTGATGTTGTCCTGGTTTAATCTTCGTTTAGTCCTGGTTTAGACCTGATGTTGTCCTGGTTTAATCTTCGTTTAGTCCTGGTTTAGACCTGATGTAGTCCTGGTTTACTATTAGTTTAGTCCTAGTTTAGTCCTGGTATAGACCAAATGTAGTCCTGGTTTAGTCTTAGTTTAGTCCTGGTTTAGTCCTGGTATAGACCAAATGTAGTCCTGGTTTAGTCTTAATTTAGTCCTGGTTTAGACCTGATGTAGTCCTGGTTTAGACTTGATGTAGTCCCGGTTTACAGCTGTCTTAGTTTAGTCCTGATGTAGTCCTGGTTTAGTCTTAGTTTAGTCCTAGTTTAGACTTGATGTAGTCCTGGTTTAGACCTGATGTAGTCCTGGTTTAGTCCTAGTTTAGTCCTAGTTTAGACTTGATGTAGTCCTGGTTTAGACCCGATGTAGTCCTGGTTTAGACCTGATTTAGACCGGTTTTAGTCTTAGTTTAGACCAGATGTAGTCCTGGTTTAGACCAGATGTAGTCTTGGTTTAGATCAGTTTTAGACCTGGTTTAGATCTGGTGTAATCCTGGTTTAATCCTTATTTAGCTCGATTTTAGTCCTGGTTTAGACCTGATATAGTCCAGTTTTAGTTCTGATTTAGTCCTGGTTTAGGTCCAAAATAAGGACACTGAGATTAATCTACAGTTAGTTTGTCCACATCGCTGTTCCACCTTGTGATGTCATGCAGTGGGGGACAGTTCTTCCCGTAAAAGAACAGCGTGTTTTGGGTTTGGTTTTCAGATACGGTATTACGGTATTATGTCGAAAACCTTTTAAGTCCTGGTTTAGTCCTGGTTTAGATCTCAGTTTTGTTCATTGTTCATTGCATTGTTTCCCGAATTTCTTTTTGCGGTGTAAGTTATTGTTTGGTCGGGGTTAGACCTGGGTTGGTCCTGGTTTGGTTAAGACCTGGTTCAGCCCTGGTTTGTTCTTGTTCTTGTAGATTTTGGTCCTCACAGTCTTGATTTAGTCCTGGTTTAGTCCTGGTTCACCTGGGTCTAGTCCTTGTTTCATTAGGTCATATTTAGTTTTGTTTATTCACATTTTTAGACATAATTTAGTTCAGGTTTTGAGTCCTGGTTCAGTCCGGGTTTAGTCCTGTTTTTAATCCTGGTTTAGTCCCGTTTCACTTTTGTTTAGTCCGTGTTTTGTAACAGCATTTTGTTCTGGTTTAGTCATACATTTAATCCGGGTTTAATCCTGGTTTAGTCCTGATTAAGACCTAGTTTTTAGCTCTGGACAGTTCAAAGCTTTTTAGTCCGGCTTTTGTCTAAACATAGTCCCGGTTTAGTCTTTCTTTATACAGTCATGGTTCAGTTGTGGTGTTTTTAAATTCCACACACCTTCACTAGAAACATTTGGATCATTTCGGGCTCAGAATCGCAAATCTGAACTGAACAAAAGGTAAAAGGAGGCGTCAACTTCAAAAGTACCGCTTCATGACATCACAAGGTGGAACAGAGCGTTTTGAGCTTTGGAAATGTAAACAGACTAATAAAAAAGGAATATTTGCGTCCTTCTATTCTACCCTTGTGTCTTTCTGTCCTACCCTTCCATCCTTGTATCCTACCCTTGTTTTCTTATGCCCTACTCTTGCGTCCTTGTGTCCTACCCTTGTGTCCTTGTCTCCTACCCTTGTGTCCTTGTCTCCTACCATTGCGTCCTTGTATCCTACCCTTGCGTCTTTCTGTCCTACACTTGCGTCCTTATAGCCTACACTTCCGTCCTTATATCCTACACTTGCGTCCTTATATCCTACACTTCCGTCCTTATATCCTACACTTCCGTCCTTATATCCTACACTTGCGTCCTTATATCCTACACTTGCATCCTTGTCTCCTACCTTTCCATCCTTGTATTCTACCTTTGCATTCTTGTGTTCCGCCCTTGCGTCCTTGTCTCCTACCATTGCGTCCTTGTCTCCTACCATTGCGTCCGTGTCTCCTACCATTGCTTCCTTGTATCCTACCCTTGTGTTCTTCTGTCCTACACTTGCGTCCTTGTCTCCTACCTTTCCATCCTTGTATTCTACCTTGTATTCTCCCTTTGCATTCTTGTGTTCTGCCCTTGTGTCCTTGTCTCCTACCATTGCGTCCTTGTCTCCTACCCTTGTGTCCTACTCTTATGTTCTTGTATCCTTAAATCTTACCTTTGTGTCCTTGTCTCCTTATATCCTACCCTTGCGTCCTTGTGTCCTCCCCTTTGCTTCTTGCCTCCTACCGTTGCATCCTTGTCTCCTACCATTGCGTCCTTGTCTCCTACTGTTGCGTCCTTGTCTCCTACCCTTGCATCTTTATCTCCTACCTTTACATCTTGCCTCCTACTCTTGCGTCTTCACTCCTTCTCTTCCGTTCTTGCCTCCTACTCTTAGATTCTTGTCTCCTACCCTTGCGTCTTGCCTCCTACCCTTGCGTCCTTGCCTCCTACCCTTGCGTCCTTGCCTCCTACCCTTGCGTCCTTGCCTCCTAACCCGCCGCTGTCTGTCTGTGGACGCAGGGATCATTCCGTAAGCCCGAGATGTGACCACAAAGCTTGTGGGCATTGTAAAGCAGCGAGCGTGGCCCAGAATAGCCCTGGAGCAGCGGAGTGTGCAGTTCTCCGGCGGCTAAAGAGGTGCGGGCACAGAAAGGCCTCGTAAAATGCGATCAGCTATTTGAAATTGAATTCACCCTCCGCTGCTCGGGCCTGTCCGGGGCTCGTGCGCGTGCGAGCTCATTTGTGATAGAAATACTGTGTTGACGTGTTGAGCTGGAGTTGGATCTGTCGGGTTTAAAGGGTCCGTCTTACACTATTTTCTGATCTGTTTATAATGTTGTTTCCTCGTCAAAATCAGATCTGGAGTTGCGTTTTGCTTCATTCGCGCACGTTTAACGCACAAACCCTGCAGATTTAGACTCTGGGATCTTCTCTCAAACAGAAAAAAAGCACTGTTGTCATGTCATGTGGTGATACAGGGAGTGCTCCACTGTGTTTTTAAACTTCACTAGAATCATTTGGATAATTTCAGCCAATTTCTTCTGAACTAAAAGTAAAAGGAGCTGTTCACTTGAGAGCATTTTGAGATTTGAAGATGTAGACAGAAGAATGAAACAAAACTTAACTCCAGGTCTGTTTTTGAGGAGGAAACAACATTATAACATGACTTAACTCTCACGAGAATCCATTTTTTATGTATTTATTTTGGACAAGTAAAAGGTTTACATTCTTATACAATGGAACATAAAACATTTGTGAAATCATAGCAGAAATAACAACACAAAATTTGCCCAGAAAGCAGTGAGAAGAAGAAATCTTATTTAATCCCAGCCCCACTCTTTTAATCTAACACAATGAGTTTTCTTTCGCATTTCTCAGACATTTTACATTAAACTGTATGAATTATTTACAAGTGCAGACAAAAAGTCACTGTTATAATTTGGTAACAAAACTGTATTGCAACGATACATAAGGATACCAACAATGGTAACAGAGAGCAGACAAACTGAAAAAATAAAACTAAATAAAACATTTTGCTTAATATTGGATGATAATATAAGAAATAAAGTTTGGAAAATGGCGATAAAAATTTTGTATTTGAATTAACTGGAATTTTCAAATGACTGGATATTTTTTATATTTGCTCAAGAGTTTTGGGATTTTTGTTTCATTTTTTTCACAAAAATTATTTAAGAACTAAACCTGGTTTTATATCTGTGTAATCACTCAGTGGTTCAGATAGGTTCCATACCAGTCCAGGTCTAAACCAGGTCTAAACCAGATGTAAACCAGATGAAAACCAGGTCTAAACCAGGTCTAAACCAGGACTAAACCAGGTCTAAACCAGATGTAAACCAGATGTAAACCAGGTCTAAACCAGGTCTAAACCAGGTCTAAACAGGTCTAAACCAGATGTAAACCAAGTCTAAATCAGGTCTAAACCAGGTCTAAACCAGGTCTAAACCAGGTCTAAACCAGATGTAAACCAGGTCTAAACCAGGTCTAAACCAGATGTAAACCAGATGTAAACCAGGTCTAAATCAGGTCTAAACCAGGTCTAAACCAGGTCTAAACCAGGTCTAAACAGGTTCTGTGCTGTGAATGTGACTTTTTTAGTATCGATACTTGTGAAAAATAAATATCTAGACACATCGATATCGGTTTTAGTATCGATTAAATCTGATTTCCGATACTTTTGACGACCTTAGAGTCTAATGTGTTGTTTTTGTTTTGTGTCCAGGTCTGCCAGGCATCCCGGGTGACTTCGGCCCTCACGGCGCTCCTATGGGCATGAGCATGGCACCCTCCTTCACCCACCACCACCCCCCGCACCACCCGCACCCGATGTCCCCGCCCCACCCGTCGCACCTGCCCCCCACCACCCCCACCACCACCAATACCCCACCGTCACCGCCGCCGCCTCCTACCTGCCCGGACACCACCACAACCCCCACCACCACCACCCGCACGCCGCCATGCTGATGCACGGAGGAGCACCCGGCCACCTCCACCCGCCGCCGCCGCCGCACCACCACCCGGACATGCCCGCCCAGAGGACCCCCCTGATGTCCCCCGTCGACCCCAGCGCCGGCGGGCAGAGCTTGGACATCCACGCCCAGTGATCGAACGGCCGGACGACGAAAAACCCGCCCCACACGACAAGCAGCTACTACGAAAAAACGAAAAAACATGTGATTTCTTTTTTTGCTCTTTGTAAGACCACAAATTTGACGCTCTTCGAAATTCCAAAAACGAGCTGTGACGATTTTTTTTTTCTTTTTTACTTGTCAAGTTTGTTACTTTGATCCAAAAACGTGGACCAAGCTGACACTTTGTAAAGACTTGGGATTTTTTGGTAAAACTTTGGCGCGGAAAAGCAAAAAAAAACTGACGGACACTAGAAGAAAAACTTGTTTCTTTTCCGCACCTGTTTAGTAACGTCGGGGAAATCAATCCACTCTGGAAAAAAGGACAGAAAGACTCCAAGAGTATAACTACTGTAGTATAAAGTATAGATACTAAGTTAAAACTTGTGCATTTTTTGGGTTGGTCACTAAGTTTGTTTATAAAGCTAGTTTTTAGAATCTCTTCTCTCTCGGTCTCTCATTCACTGTGTGCACTCCGGATGTGGAGGAGGACTGTCTCGCAGCACAGCATCATGGGAAAAAAATAAAGTTTCCAAAACGCAGAGAGGGGCAATCAAATCCTGCCGTCGACGCAAAAAAAAAAAAATGCAGAACACGGCAGGAAAACGGCTGCTAAAACGACAACAACAACAAAACAAATCACACCAGAAGAAATTTTAACTTTTTGAGAATTTGATCGATTTCTTTCGTTTTCATGAATGAATGTTTCCCGTTTTTTTTTTTTTTTTCGATTTTTTTCGCGAAAATCTTTGAAAACACCCAAGCACTGGATCGTGTTGGTTTTTATACAGTTTTATTTGAATGATATTTTATTGTTTTTTTTGTACCCTCTGGACTCTGGTTGGTCGGAGCCCGTTGAAGGAAAAAAAGTGGAAATATCCAACAAGCGCTTCTCAAACTTGTAATTTTTTTTGTTTTTATTTTTGGCGCGGATCAACAAAAGTGGCCATACTTTACGGACTTTATATATTGACACTGTTGATTCAATGGCACTGGAGAAGCCGTCGGTGGTCGGATGCACCAAAAACGAAAAAAAAAAAAAACTCAAAAAAATCGTGGGGAAAAAAAAAAACTTAAATTATGAACTCAATGCTTTTGGCGGGAAAAAAGCTGAGAGATTATTGTATCAAACTTCGTACAGAGTTCAGTCTATTAATTGTTCCATGTTAGATATTCTATGTGTTTACCTCAATTGAAAAGAATGTTTTTTGCTAGTTTCAGATCTGCTGTGGCATTGATATTGTATGTCCATAAATTCCTTCCTTTTTCAGCACGTGTCCCTCACTAGATGATAAGAAACCGTCTCCCCCGAGCTTTGTCGAAAGTACATGAAATACTTGTATGAGGAGTGTGACGTAATGTTTCAAAGGTGTTCAGTCACAAAATGCTGTAATAAATATTTCATTTTTGGATTTTTGGTAGATTTTTGTGTGGACGAGTGTCTTCTGAAAATGCCAGGGGTGGGGGCTGCTGAAAATTTTATCGCAAACAAAACGCGACTTGTACATTTTGAGGTACTTTTTACAGACTAATCACTATTACAACTTGTTATAAATATTTGTTTTCAGAAAATTTTATCCAAAACAAAACACAACATCAAAATTTTGAAGTACATTACTATTGCTACTTTCTGAAAATTTGAGTTGGGGTTGCTGAAAATTTTATCAAAACAAAACTTGACATGAACATTTTGAAGTACGTTTTACAGCCTAAGCACTATTACGACTCATTATAAATATTTGTTTTCTGAAAATGTTATTGAAAACAAAATGCAACAGGAACATTCTGAAGTACATTTTACAATGACTAATTGCTATTATGACTTATTGCAAATATTTGTCTTCTGAAAATACAAAGTTTGGGGGTTACTGAAAATTTTATCAAAAACAAAACGTGACATCAACATTGTGAAGTACATTTTACAGAGACTAATTACTGTTACTATGAATTACACAAGTATTTGTTTTCTGAAAATTTCAAGGGTTTGGGGTTGCTGAAAATTTTATCAAAAACAAAACACGACATTGACATTGTGAAGTACATTTTACAAAGACCAATTACTATTATGACTTACTACAAATATTTGTCTTCTGAAAATGCGAGGGTGTGGTTGCTGAAAATTTTATCAAAACAAAACGCGACTTGAACATTTTGAGGTACGTTTTACAGACTAATCACTATTATGACTTATTACAAATATTTGTTTTCTGAAAATTTTATCAAAAACAAAACACGACACACAACATTTACATTTTAAAGTACGTTTTACAGAGACTAATTACTATTGCTGCTTTCTGAAAATGTGAGGGTTGGGGTTGCTGAAAATTTTATTACAAAACAAAACGCAACATGAATATTCTGAAATACATTCATCACTATTAGTATGTCTTATACAAATATTTGTTTTTTGAAAATGTGAGGCTTGGGGTTTTCTGAAAATGTTATCGAAAAACAAAATGCGACATGAACGTTTTGAAGTACATTAATTATTTTTACTACATATTATACAAATATTTGTTTTCTGAAAATGCAAGGTTTGGGGTTTTCTGAAAATTTTATCAAAAACAAAACATGACATGAACATTCAGAGGTACATTTTACAGAGACTAATTACTATTACAAATATTTGTTTTTTGAAAATGAAACGTTTGGGGTTTTCTGAAAATTTTATCAAAAACAAAACACGACATGGTCATTCTGAAGTACATTTTATGAAACTAATCACTATGACTACTTATTACAAATATTTGTTTTCTGAAAATGCAACGTTTGGGGTTTTCTGAAAACTTTTATCAAAAACAAAACACGACATGGTCATTCTGAAGTACATTTTACAGAGACTAATCAGTATTAATACTTGTTACAAATATTCGTCTTCTGAAAATGCAACGTTTGGAGTTTTTTGAAAATTTTATCAAAAACAAAACACAACATTGAATCAACTGAAGTAAATTTTACAGAGACTAAACACTATTACTAATTACAAATATTTGTTTTCTGAAAATGCAAAGTATGGAGTTTTCTGAAAATACATAAAAAAACACAACATGAAGTACATTTTACAGATTATACTTTCAGATAAACATGATAAGATCATTTTGAAGTGCATCTCGTAGTTTAATTACTAATTACGACATATTACAAATATTTAAGTTTTTGGTACCTGGTGGATTTTAGTTTGAAATTATGTCTTCTGAAAAACCTTGTTCTGTAGTTTTTCACAACATTTTTCAAAAAACCTGACATGAGTATTTTGAAGTACATTATACAGAGTCTAATTACAATTACTACTTATTATAGACATTTAATTTTCTCATATTTGGCAGATTTTTGCATGAAAAGCATCTTCTGAAAAAGCAAGTTTTGTAGTTTTTCAAAAATAATTACGAAACACACAACATGAACCGTCTAATCACTTTTACTACGTACAAACATGGAACTTGTGTTTTCTGAAAATGCAGGTTCACGGTTTTCTCAAAAATGATCAAACAACATGACATTTTGATTCACTACTGATTATAAATGTTTGTTTTTTTTTCATCTTTGGTAGATTTTTGCGTCGTCTAAAAATACAAGTTTAGTAGTTTTTCACAAAATTGAACACAGTCTTGTTACTATTACTACTTCTTACAACTATTTCATTTTTTTAAATAATAATAATTATTATTATTATTGAGATTTTAGTGTGGGGGGGAATATCTTCTAAAAATGTTGTCAATTTTTTGCAAATGATATAAAAAAACGACGTGAACATCTACAACATCTACTACTATTATTATTTAGATATTTTCCACTTCTGTAGGATTTATTTCTCATTCTATTATTCCAAGTCATTAAAAAAATACGTAAATAGCTTCTTTTTATTATTATAATTCTGTTTTTAGAAATGTAAGTGCACAATTTGCCTTAACTTTTTGATTGACTCTTACACAAAGCAGCTTCACATTTTAATTGGTCCTAATTACGACTCAGAACATTTCGTGCATTATTCTTTAAAAACATATCATGTGAATGGACTGCTCTTAAGTGCGGCATTCCTTCGTGACAGAATTCTCCAAATGACAAGAACTAATCGTGTCTGAAAGCGATCTCCCTGTGGCAATTTATTTAGCCACTCACAAAAACATGCTAATTAGCTGTCACGTGCAAATGAAGGCAGAGCGATCGCACTTCGTAAATTTCAAGACACTGTCAACACACTTGGAGTTAAAAAAAAAAAAAAAAAACACTTCCCCAATTTTCAATCTTCATAAAACGTGAAGTGGAGCTCAAATTATATAAAAAAAAAATATGCATACTGTTTTGCATAAAAATAAATAAAAATTGCACAGCTGTAAACAAAGTAAACACGTCAACACTTATAGAACCTTTACGTATTTCTTAATTTATTTCCATTTACGATTTTTTTTGTGACATGTTTATAATAAGAACGTGACTTTTTGCTGTGTATAAGTGTTGTTTTGTACATTTAGCAGCTTATTTAATGCAAAAATGTCATGTTTTTTGGGAATCTATAGGTTTAATTTGGAATAATCGATAGTTAGGCTATTGATAACTTCCTCTCCGTCGTAAAAATGTATCGATTATTCCAAATTAAACCTATAGATTCCCAAAAAACATGACATTTTTGCACTAAATAAGCTACTAAATGTACAAAACAACACTTAAAAAACCTTTGCGTA